AAACTGCACATTTCAGAAAACAGTATGATTAAAAATAGTTAATCAAGGTGCTTTGAGTAGCAAAATAAGCTAAACTGGTATAGCTAATTCAACCACAGAGCTTAGTCAATTTTAAAATCCACAACCTTTTCGACTCTAAATCATTCTTAAAATATTTATATCATTCATTTCTGATTCAAGGGAGAATTAGAGATATGACCAGAAGTATATCCGTTGATTAATAAACATGTACATTTATATTGTGTTTTTTATGTCATTAATGTTTGTTTATTGTTGAATCCGCCTCTCCTGAATTTTTCACTCATATGGAGACACCACCACTTAAAATTAATGAAGACGTACAAGTCAGATTTGAGGTTAACATTCATTATAGGAGTTTTTAACAATTAAGACGTAAAGAGATAACTCCTCCTCGCCCCTTTCCCTGTTTGTTCATGAAACTAATACTTTGTTTTTACATAAAAAAATGTGAATATATACAAATAGTTTGATGGTCCATCTCTTTGAATGATTTTCATTCCTAATTCTACATGTGTTGACCCAAATTCATGAATGAAATGTCAAACAATCTTATCATTGATGCACTTTTATTTAATTTGATGTAGTCATACTCTGAACATTTCCAGTTCATTAAGAGAGTGGGGATGACTGCCAGGGGTTCATAACCTTAAACATTAGATGCACATGACATAATAACACAAGAAACAAAATTATATATAGTCAAATATAAAAGTTTTCTACTATTTTGGAGTCACATGATCATTTATCATTTCAGGGACAGGGAGTGGCTAGGGAGACTGGACCCCCCCCCCCCCGGAGTTTGCAGAGTTATTTAAATAGGACTATATACTAATTTACAGAAGCAAATAAAAAATGACTTTGGACGCCCTCCCCCTTTAAAAACATGGACCCCACCATCATTGTTTTGTTTTTTTTTTTTTGTTTTTTTTTTTTGTTTTTTTTTTTTTTTTTTTTTTTTTTTTGCTTCTCAGGAAATTCTGGGCTGGACATTTTTTTGACTGAGGTGTGGCCTGGAAAAAAATCCTTGATCTGTGCCTGTAACTGAATGTAATGTCGACAACAGGAGATAACTCTTCAGAATGTGAAATTCGTCTATTGTGGCATCCGATGATCTTTGATTCTTTTTCAACTTTAACCTAACCATTTGCATTTCAGATTATATTACCCCGATCTATACCTAAACTTGTACTTACCGACTGTCATAGGTACTGTCAACTTCATGAAATATAATCCAATTAAAACACACAATGAATTAATTTCTACTGATATAGGCCTATGTAACGATGTCTACACCATGTGCAATCCAAATGATAATGGTAAAACTAGTACTAGTAGGGTGACGCAAGTCCAATGTGATGTAGAAATTTTCAAATGTACACATGTACAGTACAAGGACAAATTTTAAATTATCATTACAAACGATGTTTTAACATAACTTTAATTGCTATCTATGCCCATTTCCAAAAACAGGCAAATTGTGTGTGTGTGTGGGGGGGGGGGGGGCAAAATTGATTGAGTGTGGCTTTTTGAGCAGGTTTTTGCCTACCCAAATACCTAAAAAGTTTGCACGATTTGTTTAATACTGAAAGTTGGCATCTAAGTTCATCAAAAAGTTTGCAATAAAATGATATTATTTGTTGTTGAGAAAATAAATGTAAAAAGTTCCAATTATGGGCTAAAAATTTATATCCCCCCTTTTTATCAAAACCTAATTATATAATTTACATCATTAATCTGTAATTTCAGACTGGTAATGAATTAAGTACATGTATATGAAATGCGTATGAGAGGCTCATGGGTCACATGGTCACCTGAGCATTTTATGCTCAATTTGACAAATACATGTTCTGTGTAAATTATAGAATTATTTTGGCTTTTTCCTTGGTCATCCCAATATGAAGGGGTGTGCATTTAGAGGCAAACACCTTAGTGCGGGTATTACTGTCTTGTGACAGCATCTAGTTTTTGTTTTTGTTTTTGTTTGTTTGTTTGTTTGTTTGTTTTTTGTTATTTTGTATTCTGTTTAAATACCTTCATGTTATGTTTATAATCATTTTCGCATACCAAACTATTCATTTTAGTTTTATAGATTTTGATAAAAACGAAAACCACCAATTTAATATTGATTAATGAATCATGCAATGCATTACACCCAAAGAATATATATATGTTTATGAGAACTAGATAATATTTAATTATAGTTCGAAAGCAGCAGTCAGAAATTATTAATATTTTTTAAATTTTTAAAAAAAAAATTTCAGTCGAACAAATGCCAATTCTATTTTCACGCACTTTTGATAATTTTCCTGAACTAAAACTGATCAGAACGGACTAAGTGTACCCAAGTGCTAGACTGTACGATGAAGTAACAACGTTTTACTATTGAGTTTAATGGAGTTAATGCTTTTTTTCGATCATTGCTGCATATTTCAATAAATGGGATACATGTAATAGGTGTAAGTCACTCGGAATTTTCACATATCCAAACTGGAACAGTAGTCTTATTTTCTAGGCATGGATAAGTTTTACCGCGTTCGAAGTTCGAAGTGTTTTCTCGGTAAGCATAAAATATATTTGATTGCATATGGACAAACATAGCAGTGATGCTGGTTGTTGTTCCGTTTCACGGCAGATACATGTAATTGCAAATTGTTTGAACGAGTTTTACTTTGATAAGTTGGACTTTTAGAAAATCAGGCCCGTAGAAATCAAGTGGAGAACAACACCCATAATAACAGAAATTCTTGACAAGCTAATAAAAATGTCAGAGTCGTTTTACAGGGGCAAAAAAGAAAATGAGCTTTGTTTTCTATTCAATAGTATATGCAGGCAATTTGGAGGGGGCAAAACCGTATATTACCTTAATTTTTTTATTGTAAAGTATATTTTGGCAAAAGTATTGGGTACACACCCAAACGGGATTCTGGCTGCTATGGGCGTGATAATTATAAATATTTTCAAGAGATACTTCTTGACAAACACCCCCTCCAGATATACAATTTCAGGATTTCTTCGACTTTTTATCATAAATTGTATCCATATCTCTTATATATTATGAATATGATGAGAAATCAGAGGAAAACCCTAAAAATCCTTCCATCACACATACATGTAATGAGAGAGAAAAGTATGCCGCTCCATATTTTCTCTCTTATTGTGTAGATTGGGTTATTATTGTATAAAACGATTGCATGTATTTATGGTTTCACCCCATTTTTCCTGTGTCGAATAAGCCCTTCGGCTGTAAATGGGGGGTGGGGGGTGGTTGTTCCTGTTTACAAGTATCTTTGGCTTTTTTAAATTAATTTTATAGTAACGTCTCTATACCTTCCCGACTAAAGATCCAGACCAATTATTATTTACGAGTTTTAATTCATTTTAATCTTCTCCATACATCACAAAATTTTAATAAAATCAATACCATAAAAAATTACGACTTTTCATCTCTGTATACAACCATTCCCCGCGATAAATTAAGGTCCAGGCTTTTTGACATCATTGACAGCTGCTTTTTTCAATGAAAATGGGACTCATCAATCAATTAACATTGTCATTGGTCAATTGCAAAATTATTTGATAAAAAATCATTCTGATTGTACAAACAAGTACTCTGAAGTTGATAGCAAAAAGATACTTGAGTTTCTGATTGACAATATCTATGTGGTTTTGGGAGACCAGGTCTTGTAACATGTACGAATTGCGCCCCGTTATTAGCAGACCTGTTTTGAACTCAAATGAAGCAGAATTTATTCAAAATCTTATACATGAGAAAAAAAAAATCTTGCTGTGGCTTTCAACTCGACATTGAGATATATCAGCGACGTACTATCAATTAACAATAGTTACCATTCCATTCATATGTCGACACGATATATGCCAGTGAGATTGAAATATAAAAGATACCACAGACTTTGACACATCTGCTTTAATATTTGGATATTTTACTAGGAAAAGTCGTTAATGGCAATGTAATAACAAAACTCTATGATAAACGTGATGACTTTAACTTTTCAATCATCATCTTCCCTTATTATTCAGCAATATACCCTTATCACCTGCATATGGTGTGTATATCTCTCAGTTGATTCGATACGCAAGAGCATACGTATACGTATGAACAATTTCCAAAACGAAGTACATTATTGACAAACATGATGATGACACAAGAATATCAACAGTCTCCTTTGAAGTCATCATTTCGTAAGTTCTATGGTCGATACAATGACCTTGTCATCAAATGCAATCTATCATTAAGTCATAATTATGCTGATTGACTTTTTTTTCATACTAATTGTTAAGGCATTATTTACACATTGAATTCGTTGGCGGTTTTTTCCGTTATTTCCGGATCATGACAAAGAGCACGCGGCGGGTGTGACCAGCACGCGGCGGGTGTGACCGGTTGGGAGAGGATGCTCACTCCTCCATGGCACCTGATCCCACTTCTGTTGTTTTGGAGGTCTGTGTTTGCTCTGCTCCCGATTTGTAATATTTTAATGGATTTTGAGCTTGGATACTGTTCGTTATCGTTATCGCCATATTTCATCAATCTATTTTATATCGAAAGATGATTTTAAAGAAAATATAGAACCCAATTAGGTCCCTCATTTTTAAACGCAAAAGATTAATCAACAATTTTCAAAAGTATTTCCCTAGGCCACCATCTTTGAAGAATTAACTTTATGTAATTTTCACAGCGTCCTTTGTTATTTCAAATTTTTGGTAGCATACAGAAGAGAAATATTTTTTTCTTTCCCTTTAAGTCTTTGACTTGACGTGCAAAGGGACACAGCTCAATTTAGTTTTTGCGACATGTGGCTTGAACTGTTTGTCAGAGGATAGAATCTGTCTTTTTCATTCAAAAATACTACCCTGCGGAAAAAAGTAAAAAAAAAAAGTCTCCTGTTGATCTATTCTAATTTCACAGAAAAGATCTCTATTTAATGAACAGGTTAAGAAAGTTAACATTCACAGTCATAAAACCAAAATTTGGTTTCTCTTAACTTTTATTTATTTTTACACAGTGTCAAATACATTCACACAAATGATATTACGATAAACAATTTCAGTGCCAAAAATAGAGTCTTATTCATGCATATTCATTATTTCGTTTTCACCTGTTCTTCTGGTCCCAAAGTTTTAACCTTCATTGTGCTTGATATTTGGAATAATTTCACACCATTTATTCAACAAACGGAATCTTCTTATTTCATTTTCTTCTTTCATACTTTGGTGGATTCTTTTCAAGTCAGCATCAGATGTTTTGGAAATTTTTCTTTCGAGGTCTTCCTTATCATCAAAATACTGTATATGAGGCCAATCATAGAAGTCACTAAACTGCAGCCAGTACATTTCATCTTCTGGACGATCTTTGAATTCAGAATTCGGGTTAAAAGAATGATAACTAGAAGGATGTTTCTTCATTTTCTTCCAAAGATCTTTATCATGTTGACAGTATGGAGCACTAGTACTTGTGCGGTCAGATCCAAGACCACCATTTTCCTGAAAATATTTCAGACTCGGAAAAAACAATGGTATATTAAGAGAATAGAGTTCAGTTATCTTATAAGAATGTACGGCATACGGGAAAAAAATAACTGCAGGGTAACTCGTCAAGTCATTTAATGTGTAGTGTTTGTACTTGTGATGTAGTATTGTCATATTGAAATTTGTTTTTGTTATGGCTTTTGGTATTTTTCCACCACTAAAAAATACAAGAATTTCCTTTTTCGTTGGTGTATAAACCGACTTTTCCGTGTAAAATCCTGAAAAACTAGATAGCAACTCAAGAGATCGAATTCCAGTGTAGTGAAACAGATATTCATAATCATATCGATTGTCAGCACCAATAACATGTTTCAATTTTCCATCCCCTTTCCTTTTTGTAAGTCCATGCAATTTTCTATTGAGTCCTTCCCAACTTTTTACATCACATCGACCCAAATTATACCTATGAGCTGCCAAAAACAATATGGACTTTGTTTCATTAAATGGCATCCATAACTCGCACATAGATGCTGGAAATGCACAATAGAAGGCATCTGTTTTTTCGAATGCCATATCTCCTCTATAAAATACAGCATTCTGCTCGACACCTTTTTCTGATAAAGGTGTTGAGTGAGTTGTATATCTCATTAATTCAGGCGATATCTTTTTATAGATATTTATGCCAGGACTTTTGAAAACTTCGGAATATGGTGATTTTTCACCTTTGATTCCAGCAATATAGATCCTCTGATCCAGTTTAGAAAGTAAAGACGGAACATCAATTCTTGTTCCATCATGCAAATCAGAAGTCCAAAATGTAGCAGTTATATTCTTCCTTTTCATTTCTACACAATTTTCTGGTATCCCTGTTGGCCTAGACAAAACGGACGATCCAATGTCGTTTGTGAATTCAGATGGTGACTTAGAGGAAGCTCTTCTGTTATTATATCCCAAGTCATAACCGATAGAAGTAATAGATTCTAGCCATAACTGAATGTTGTTGATGTCACCTATCTGAATGAAACCCCATTCGTAAAGTGTTACATAAAGATCTTCCATCAAATCTTCTAATGAACGCTTTTCATTATCATTCACTTTAGTTATATTTATTTTCCAGGACTCCAGAGTGGAAATAAAGGCAGTAGTTTGTGTGTAAAGAGGAATTTCTGATTGAAAGTCACCATTATAATTGTGTACATTCCGATCTTGATCTACAAGCGGCCTTGGCAAAAACCCAACATGAAGTCCACGGAGAGGAAGGAGAACCTGGGCAATGTAGCTTCGCCAAATATCAGATACCCGGCCATGCACGGTCACAGGAAGATAAAGACAAAAGAAAGCTTTTTGGAAATGTAAGGTAGCCTGTGCATTCAATGGAGAGTAAAGTCCATTCGGTAAAATAATGGTGTTGTTTACTTTGGCATATGCCTTGTTGAAATAAAAAGGTGTATACTCTGTTAATCTGTAAATTGCATCTACATCTGGTTGATGGTCCGCAATTGACTGCAAAATTCCAAGTTTTTCTTTTACAAAAGTTTCACTTACAAATTTGAATTCATGATTTCTCGAAGGCATTATGTTTTCTAAAGGGAATCCTCTTGGCCATATTTTTAGTTCACTGGATCCCAGGTAATTGTAAGGGTTAAAAAATAATGCTCTTGTGTCTGTCTCCACTTTAGACACAGGTATTTCTGATTTTGTAAATGTATCTATCCATTGATTCGGGTGAATTGATGCGTTTTCCAACCAGAATTTTAGTATATTATCGTCGTCAAAGTCCCAAATTAGCTGTGCTCCATGAGATATTGCATATAAATATCCAATATTTTTTCTACTAAAACTGTTCCAAGGTAAATTATTAATAAATTTTGATCTCATTTTCTTTTGATCTTTATGATTAAGAAATACCATACATCTTTTCAATGAAGATGGAATGTTATAATATTTAGGCTTTTCTAAATCCCCAACAATCACTACACACCATGATGACATATACAGGAAACGTCGCACTGCTTCAGAGGGTTTAAATATCGTTGTCAAAACTGCCCATTTCTCGTGATTCTTGTCTTCATTTCTTACAGTACTTTCATGTTTAGAAAGATATTTATTTCTAAATTTGAGTTTTTCTGGTGGAAATTCACGTACCTTGAAAGCTTTGAAGGGCTTTGCAGATGCCCCAAGAGAAATAAAAGAGGTTTCCGATTTGAATGAGATTGGCGGAATGGTATTATACTGATGATTGATACAAGGTTCGTTAATATCACGTAACAATTCCATCTTTGGGTTCTGATTAGATCGATACAAGGGTCTCTGAATATAAAATACCAGGAAACATACCACGGACAGAGTAACAAAAATCCATTTCCTTCTTTTCTTCATTAGGAAAATGAGTTCTGTAAAGTATAATTTCATAAGTGAAAGATACATTATGCAAAATAACCCTTATATATATATATATATATATATATATATATAGAAAGCACAAAGAAATTCACTTTTATAAGGATACCCACTACCGCCCAAGCCCAGGGTTGAACTCTCGACCTACGGAATCTGTCTCCTAGCAGTACAGGAACAGCGCGCTAGACCGCTCGGCTATCTAGGCAGGTCAAAAAACTTGCTTTCGATGCCGATGGAATCCTCGCGGCGCTGCTCTACACTACACGGTCAATGAGAATGGAAGTGAGATACAGTTATTTGGACATTAGTCTTATTAGAGGATCGTTACCAATACACGTTGTAATGAAATTAATATTTATTTATAAATGACATTTTACAACAACTGTTAAACTAACATAACTGCCCTAAGTGAAGAAATATTAATAAAGAAAGCACAAAGAAATTCACTTTTATAAGGATACCCACTTCCACCCCAGCGGAGACAAAAATGCCAATATATATATATATATATATATATATATATATATATATATATATATATATATATATATATGTATATATATATATATATATATATATATATATATATATATATATATATATATATATATATATATATATATATATATGTACATGCAAAAAAAACTAAATTATTAATATTAATTTTTTTTATTTGAAACATTCAGCAATTGTCTAAACAATGGTTGTTGTTGCATTGTTCATACTAAATTCATATAGGATAATTGGTTGAATACTTTTATCATCTCAAAATATTTCTTTTTAAATAATGCATTTTTTTTTTTAAATCAAAGAACCATATACGCTTAAGATATATCCCTGCCCGCATAAAAATCACATTTTTAAAATATGTTGAGTTCAATTGTATAAATTGTTTAAATGAATCTGAACAAGCATTCTGAGAGTATTGCATTAGCAATACTAGTCCCATACCGGCAAGTTTAATCTGTTTCCCGTTAAAAATTGAAAATGCCATAATTCTGTCAAAAATCAATGAAGTGGAACGATATGCAAACTTGATCTTTAACTCCTCAAGATAAAGTTACATACCAAAAATCAGCCAAATATCTGCAAGCGTTTAGAAAAAAAATTGCAGAAAACCCTGAAAAATTGAAAAGGTTGTAATTCGTCAAAAATCATTAAAATGGAACGAAATGCAAACTTGATCTGTAACTCATCAAGATACACTCACATACCAAAAATCAGCTTAAAGTGACAGTACGGCGCATCTCATCAAAAAACTGGTTAGATAAAATTTTCCGACAAGATTTGGAATTTTTTTAATACTCATAAATGTATAAACTTTCAGAAAATTACAACTTTTACAATTAAATAATTTGGATTATTTCATTAAAATTAAAAGTTATTTATGGGACGTAAATATATACTTCGCAACGTGTTCGGGGTTCCACATTTCATAAACAAAACAGCATGGTTAGAGAGGGAATCCCGGTAGGCCTGCTACATTGACAAAGTCGACCAAAAAGAAAAAGAAACTGAAAATAGAACTTGAAAAAGCAACTTTCCTGACTAAAATTTAGTTTGGGGATTAATAAAATCGCTGGATAAGGAAGAAACGGGAACTCGGCGACACTCACGCAGGGCTCGCGAAGGTTCTATTCGACAGGTTTGTTGATACTTGTTATCATTTCTCATTTTTCCGTCACTTTCAAAGAAAAAAAATAGTGTAAACTCAACATAAAAAATACATCTTTGACTTATAAACATTGTTGCCATTTAAAATGCTAATTTTTTTTAACTGTGCAGAAAAATATTTTGTTTGACATTTGCCGCGATAACGAATGATTAGTTGGTTTTTCCTTTCTCGGACTCCAATACACAAAACGTAAACATTTGTACTTTTAATTCTGTTAAATTCGCCTGAATGCAGACTAAAATCTTTACGATTATTATTTTAGATTATTTTTATCGGAAAGTTATGATAATTTGTGTTTTTGAAAATTGTTTTCACCTAATATTCATTATAGCTGTAAACTCTACAGTGTAGGCACGTGCCGTTTTAGAATTCACGTGGTACAAGTAAACAGATCTAAGATTGTTCCAGTTCGTACGACCCTTGATTTTCCGGCAGATTCTAATTACGTTAATTTTGTTTGAGTAGAGAATATTTCTGTTTCTCAAACTGCTTACATCAACTTTATACCTTATTTCTTAATGACATATTGGGTAAATTTGGATGAAAAAGCACACATTTTGCAGCCGTACTGTCGCTTTAATATCTGCAAGCGTTTAGGGAAAAAAGCGGAAAACCAAGTGGGACAGACTGACAGACAGACAGAGGGACAGACAGACAGACGGACGCACAGACTCAGAGGAAACCTATAGTCCCCTTTGGTTTCACCGGTAGGGGACTAATACCAACATGTGTTTTTGGTTCGGAAAAAAATATTGGCATTTTTGTCTCTGTGATGTCACAACTTTTGAAGTTTCCCTTTATTTTTTTAAAAAGAGTGAAAAATGGACAATTTTTATTCCATTTTGAGTTAGTTTTTAAAGAGCGCAATCTTGCTCAGGAATTTTTCTCACATGTTGTATTATTATCATCATTCTACAAAAAACATTTTTAAAAAAAAATGGAGTTTGAGCAGACGAGCTCCAATCAAATAATCCGCGTAAAATACTCTAAATTCTTTCGAAATCATTGAATTGTTGAATTTATATGATATTTTAACGTCAAATCTAACATGACTTGACAATGGATAAAATATATAAAATACCCATTTTTCCTATCTTTTTTAAAGGATCACTTGCAATGTTACACATAGCGGCGTGTTGCGACAGACATCCTAGGGAACTTCTGACTGATCTTGAATCTAAGTCTGAAAATATAATTTTTCTCGGTAGAATTCTTTGAAATTTGGCAAAAGAAATTACGTAAAACAGTAATTAAAGATAAACTCAATATCTATATTCATTAATTTACAAGAGCATTGCACGTTAGGCAATATCACACAGTAAATTCCCCCATGGAGAACTTCTCACAATACTGTAATGTGTTTTTTCCTTCTATATCTATTCTCTTAGTTGAAACAATATGTCTATGAATTATTTTTGACTTATTTAAGAATAAAAGTTGTAGATAAAATGGGAATTTTCATAAAGATTTATGCTAGTAAAATACGCACAGGACAATACACGATCAATTAAAAAAAAAATGCTATCCTATGCTAATTCGGGATCAGAGACAGATAGGAAATATTGAATAAATTATGTGGTAACCATAGACAATTTTATGTGAAACTAATGTCTGACAATTCTTATAAAAAACGTTAGTCATCACTCGACTAACAACAAGATCAATGTATCGACCATGCAAAGAATTTGCGAAATGTTGAATTTAAAAGAGACCATGTATAAGTATAACATTCAAATAAAGGTTAAAATAGTATGATACAAATAACAATCTACTTACGTTTCCTTAACTATGGAGTTCGAGGCTACAATTGATCTTTTTTTTTTAAGTTAGACATTTATCAAATCGTAGAGAAGCTCAGTGTCAAATATAGATGTCTTTTCAACTTTATCAAATGTTTTTAAGTTTCTATAAAATTTACTTCTTTAATTTCTTAAATCAGTAGTCCGCATCATCGATCTTTTACTGTATGAAATAATTTTTCAAATGAATGAATAATGTACGCCTAAATAAACCATAAAACCGGAGACCGTATCCATTTAAAAATTTACACACTTTTGCCTTTTTAAAATGACTTGGTTTAGTTATCAACTGTGACAATCAATATTCAGAACCCGTGAAGTTTGTTAAAAATCATATTTTGTCGGCAATTGATTTCACGGAATAAACCGCACCATACAGTCAGCTGAATAATCGCTGAACAGTCACGAAATGATAAAGCTCTGCCAGTTAGTCATCTTTCACTTTTTCAGCACTTTTTATAGAATTTCATGACAGAGTTCCATTCAGCATTTGCAAATTTGACATAGTAATTGTATGGTGTTCAGGGTTTTTTCATCATTTGAAATTTTAATGTGGCGCAAACTTTGTGGTTCATAGAGAGCCCATGGAGATCCCTGTTGTTTTTTTTTTTTTTTTTTTCAATTTAAGAAAAATGAAACAATGTTTCATGAAAAAAAAAAAATTATTTATTCCAAATGCAGTTTGGCGATCTCTAAATCTCAAATCTCAAATATAAAATCAACCATTTCAGGAATGCTAATATGAGGACCAAATGTGTTACATTAAGAGATTGTTCACTTAGAGCCTTTTCTTGGCCCTGTGAATTTCTTAAAAAAAAAAAACAAAAAAAAACAAACAAAAAACTGCACAGTTTTAGTTGACAATAGCCCTTGGTGACTGCATTTCTATCAAAAGTGAAGTTATTTTCTCTTTTCTATGTTTCATCGAATCCTAATTTTTTTTTTTTTTTCAAAATCGGCCAAGAGTAAATTTTTTTCAAGATTTTGCCTAGAACCCAATCTTGATCCAAAATGTGTTTATATATTGTGAAAAAAAAAATGTTTCTAAAGATTATAAAACATTTTTTAGGGAGGAGGGGGGCTCCTTTTTTAAATTTTTGCTGAAGATCCTCGAAAATACACGTTTTCTGCAAAATTCAAGAACACTGAAATTTCACAAAGCCTGTATCTTTTATAATTAGACTCTCAGAGGAAACTTTTTAAAAGGGAATTAAAAAAAACTTAACATTTATAATGTTTGAATTTGGGCAATGGGTCTCGGTTAGTCAATTGTTTTATGGACATGGCCATTTCGTTGATAAAGTGAACATAGCTTTTCATCGAGGTAGGAAAAGGATTGCATCAGGTTTAATATGACTCAGAAGTATGATCAACCAGAAGTGTTTACCCATTAGATAGATATAGATATCATGTGTACACATTCCAGGGTGCATTTTTGAACAGATGATTGATTGATTGGTTAGTTGATTGGTTTTATTTTTTAATAGTCCCATTCGAAATTTTTTTTATTCATATAGAGATGTCAACATACACCGGTGAAGGGCTTTAATTTTAGACTTATACTCGGCACTTCCGATCATTGAGAGTTAGGTCCCTTATCGTCCATCATCTACTGGGAAACACAATCTAATTAAAATTAGATGTACCGAATCCGCTACCGATTCTTAAACATCTAACAACATCCCACAAGGGTCTAGTCAATGTAACCTTTCAATTATGAATAAACATGAAAATTGTGGCAAATCAAATTCAAGATTTTGTAAACAATTTCTAAGAATAATTCCACGGCTACATTTTAACATTATTGGTGCTCAGTAGTCTGTTGTGAGTTGATTTAAGGTATTCATAGTATGAATTGAAAGTATAGTCTGCCCATCCGCCATTCGTACCTAAATAATGCAAACAAAAATGTACAAACTATACAAAATATCCTGCACGTCACATTCATATAGCACGGCCTTTGTCATGTATAGTTTTGTTTACTGCGAAAGATTCCAAGGCGACGATTTCGTTGGCTATTAAAGAGATCGTTCTGATGTGATCCCGAATGGGATTTTGTTAGATGATTGCAAAGCGATAATGGATTCGGAATACCTAATTTTAATTAGATGTTGTAAAACAGGACCTCACTTTTTATGATCGGCTTCGGCTGATCAAAGTTGATTCCATATGAGGCATCCGGAAGATTAAACTAACTGCGCAAACAACCCGTACTACTTTGTTATTTATGCACTGACTGCTTCATGAAAGTCTTTCACAATAATGTTAAGCACTACTACATGTACATGTAAAAAAAATTTTTTGATGCATTTACTTTGAGATGCAAATGTTTATTCAGTTACATTGAAAATAAACTTAATTTTCTTTAGTACAGGCTATTTGACATCATATACAGCTGCTTTTTTCAATAAAAATGTAACTCGTAAATATACTTACCTTGTCTTTTGTCATTTGCAAAATTATTTTGTTAAAAAACATTCTGATTGTGCACACAAGTACTCTGAAGTTGATATTAAAAAGATGCTTGAGTTTCTGATTGGCAATATCTATGTAGTTTTGGAGAGCAGGTCTTCCAACAATCTGTTGGAATTCCCATGGGTACCAATTGCGCCCCTTATTAGCAGGCCTATTTTTGTATTTAGATGAAGCAGAATTTATTTAAAAACTTCTAAATGAGAAGAAGAAAAAAATTGCTGTGCCCTTCCACTCGATATTTCCTTATATCGACGACGTATTATCAATTAACAATAGTTACTTTCATTCATATGTCGACTCGATACATCCAAGTGAGCTTGAAATAAAGGATCCAACAGATTCTGACACATCTGTTTCATATTTAGATATTTTAATAGACAAGAGGCCCATGAGCCACAACGCTCACCTGAGTCAATATGGCCCTGCTGTTCTTCGTCAGCAGATTTCTTCTCCTATATTTCTCCTATATATTCATATATAAAGCTTTGATCGCCTGTTCTAGACATACCCTACCCCAAGGTGCCATGTTTTGAATGAAATTGAATAAAAACCTTCTGAGGATGCTTCTATCTTCATATAACTAATCATGATTTTGCTGTTCTTTAAAACAGAATTTTAAATATGTCTAACACCCTACCGTGGGGGGGGGGGGGGGTCATGATTTGAACAAACTTGATTGTACACTACCTGAGGATGCTTCCATATCAATATGACTGATCATGGCTTTGTTGTTCTTGAGATTGAAGAAGATTTTTAAAGATATTTCCTGTATATGTTCTATTGTAAAACTTTGATCCCCCATTATGGCCCCACCCTACCACTGGAGGATGCCTTAAACTAGCTTGAATCTACAATATTTGGGGAAGATTCCATATCAATATGACTAATTGTGGCTTTGTTGTTCTTGAGAAGAAGATTTTTAAAGATTTTCCCTATATATTCCTATGTAAAACTTTGATCCCCCATTGTGGCCCCACCCTTCTCCCGGGGGTCATGATTTGAACAAATTTGAAGCTACACTACTTGAAGATGATTCCATATCAATATGACTAATTGTGGCTATGTTGTTCTTGAGAAGAAGATTTTTTTTCTAAATATTCATATACAAAACTTTGATCCCTCATTGTGGCCCCACCCTACCCC